ATTGGCATTTAGAAGAGCAGGAGGTGACTTGATTGAAACATATTAAGATCCTAAGGGATCTTTACAGGGCAGATGTGAAGAGGATATTTCCTCTGATGGGAGGATGTACAACTAGGGGTTACTGTTTAAAAATAAGGCATTGACTGTTTACATAGAACATAGAACAGTACAACACAGGAACTGGCTCTTCGGCCCACCATGTCTGCATTGACCATGATGCCATTTTAAAATGATCTTGTGCTTGCACATGTTCCGTATCCCTCTATTCCCTCCTTGTTCATGTATTTGTCTCTTAAACAGTGCTATATCTGCTTCCATCACCTTTCCTGACAACGCATTCCAGGCACCTACCACTCTCTATGTAAAATACCTGCCCCACACATCTCCTTTAAAAATTTTCTCCTCTCACCTTAAACCTATGCCCCCTACTATTTGACATTTCCCACCCTGGGAAAAAAGACTCCAACTATCCACCCTATCCATGCCTCTCACAATTTTATATATTTCTACCAGGTCACCAGTCAGCCTCCGACGCTCTAGCAAAAACAATCCAAGTTTATCCAACATCTCCTTATAGCTAGTACACTCCAAACTCCAATCCAGGCAATCTACTGGTAAACTTGCTCTGCATGCTCTCCAAACCCTCCACATTCATCCTTTAGTGTGGCAACCAGAACTGCACACAATACTCAAAATGTGGCTTGACTAAGTTTTTACACAGCTGCAACATTACTCACCAACTTGCAAACTCAATGCCATGACTAAGGAAGGCAAGCATGCTCTATGCTTCCTTTATCACTTTATCCACGTGTTGCCACTTTCAGGGAGCTATGAACTTGCACCGAAGGATTCTTCTGTGTATCAATGCTCCTAAGGGTCCTGCCATTTACTGTATATTTTCGTCTCACATTTTTCCTCCCAAAATGCATCACCTCACTCATCCAGACTAAACCTCATCTGTCATTTCTTTGTCCAAACTTGCCAATTGATCCATATCCTGCTGTATCCTTTGACAACCTTACTAATCTACAACTTCAATAATTTTTGTGTCATCTACAAATTTACTTATCAGACCATCTACATTTTCATCCAAATCATCTATTTTATCACAAACAACAGAGTTCTCAGTGCTGATGCTTACGGAACACCACTGGTCACAGTCCTCCAGTCAGAAAAACACCCCTCAATAACAACCATCTATCTTCTATGACCAAGCCAATTTTGTATCCAATTTACCATGGATTCAATATGACTTAATCTTCTGGATCAGCCTAACATGAGGAACCTTTTAAATGCTTTTCTAAAGTCCATGCAGACTTCATCCACTGCCCTAGCCTCAACAATCATCACCGCTTCCTCAAAAAACTGAATTAAACTCATGTGACAAGACCTTCCCCATACAAAGCCATGGTGACTATCCCTGATAAGTACATTATTTTACAAAGGTGAAGAAACCCAGTCCCTAAGAATCATCTCCAATAATTTCCCCACTGCTGATGTAAGGCTCACCATCATATCATTTCCTGGATTGTTCCCATTGCCCTTCTTAAACAAAAGGAACAACTTTGGCTATTCTCCATTCTTTTGGGACCTCGCCTTTGGCTAAAGAGAATACAAAGATCTTTGACAAGACCCCAGGAGTATCCTGAGATGGATTCCATCAGGCCCTGATGATTTACTTACCTTAATGTTTTTCAACATCCGCTCCTTCTTAATATCAACATACCCTAGAATAGCAATTTACCCCTCCCTAATCTTACCATCAGCCATGTACTTCTTGGGGAATACCAATGTGAAGTATTCATTAAGGACCTCACCCATTTCCTCTGACTTCATTTATAAATTCCTTCTTTGTCCTACTCTTTCCCTAGCTACTCTCTTGTTCCTAATACACATATAAAATACCCTGGGATTCTCCTTAATCTTAATTGCCAAGTACATTTCATGGCCCAATTTAATATTTGGTTAAATTCTTACCTGCTTCCTTTATATTCCTCAAGAGCCTTATCTGATTTCAGTTTCCTAAACCTTACATACACTTCCTTTATCTTTTTGACTAAACTTATTATCTCTTGTCATCCAGAGTTCCAGAATCTTGCCATCCTTATCTTTCATCCTCACAGGAATGTGCTGGTCCAAAATGCTGATCAACTGGCCTTTAAATCAGATGTGGATTTATCCTCAAACAGTCATCCCCAATCTAATTTCTCCAGTTCCTGCCTAATACTTTTGGAATTAGCCTTCCTCAGATTTAGCCCTTTCACCCAAGAACCAGTCTTATCCTATCAATAATTATCGTAATACTTAAGGAATTACGATCACTGTTCCTAAAATGCACTTCCGTTGAAATATTGATCACTCGGCCACGCTCATTCCCCAAAACAAAGTCTACTACAACTTCTTCCCTAGTTTCAAGAAACACTCCTGATGCAGCTAACAAACTCTGCCCCATCTAAGCTCCTTGCATTAAGGATGTCCCAGGTGTCAGTGGGGAAGTTAAAACCATCCACTTGTGTTTACATCTTTTCATTATCTGCCTACACATCTGTTTGTCTATCTCCCGCTGGCTATTGGGAAACCTACAGTATAACCCCATTATAGTGATTTCACCTTTCTTATTCCTGAATTCTATTTATATGGCCTCACTGGATGAGCTCTCTGAGATGTCCTACTTTAGTGCATCTGTGACATTTTTCTTAACCAGTAAAGCAACAACAATCCCATTCCCACCCTTTTTACAATCCCTCTCTATCATGCCTGAATCAGTTTAACCCTGGAATGCTTTATTGTCAGTCCTGCCCTCCTCATAATCAGGTTTCCGCAAATGGCTACATCATAGCTCCATGTACTGATCCAGGTTCTGGGCTAATCTTCTATACTCCTTGCATTAAAATAAATACACTTCAGACTGCCAGTCCCGCTGTGTTCATTAATCTGACTCTACCTGTTCTCCCTATTAGAATAACTTGACTTAAACTCAACCTTCTTCTTGATCACTCTATACGCTGATCTACTACATTGGTTCCCACGCCCTGTAAAACATGATTAAACCATCCTGAATGGTACTAGCAAACCTCCCTGAAAGGGTATTGTTACCCATCCAGTTTAAGGTCCCACTTTTCCTTCTGTACAGGTCCCTCCTGCTTTTGAAGATGTCCAAATAAAGTCATAGAGATGTACAGCATGGAAACCGACCCTTTGGTACAACACATCTATGCTGACCAGATATCCTAAATTAATCCAGTCCCATTTGCCAGCATTTGGCCCATATCCCTCTAAACCTTTTCCATTCATGTACCTATCTAGGCGCCTTTTAGATGTTGTAATTGTACCAGCCTCCACCACATCCTCTGGAAGTTCATTCCGTACATGCACCATGCTCTGCATGAAAAAGTTGCCCCTTAGGTCCCTTTAAAATTTTTCCCCCTCACCTTAAACCTATGCCCTCTAGTTTTGGACTCCCCTACGCTGGGGAAAAGACCTCGACTACTCACCCTATCCATGCTCGTCATGATTTTATAAACTTCTATAAAGGTCACGCCCTGGCCTCTGGAACTCCAGGGAAAATAGCTACAGCCTATTCAGCCTCTCCCTATAGCTCAAACCCTTCGACCCAGGCAACATCCTTGTAAATCTTTTCTGAACACTTTCAAGTTTCATAGCATCTTTCCAATGATCCAGATAATTGAAGCCCTCTCTCCTACACTAGCTCTTTAACCACACAATCAACTGTATTATCTTCCTCATTTTGCCCTCACTAGCATGTGGGACAGGAAGTAAACCCAGGATTACAGCCTGGAGGTCCTGCTTTTCAACATTCTAGCTAACACCCTGAATTTACTTTGTAAGATTTTGTCACTCTTCCTGCCTACATTGTTAGCACCAATACGGACCATGACTTCTGGGTGCTCACCTTCCCCTTTCCAAATGTTGTTTTCTAACTCAGTGATATCACTGACTCTGGCACCAGAGAATCAACACACTATCCTGGAGCCTTGCTCACGGCCACAGAAACACCCTGTTCCTTGACTATATAGCCACCCATCACTGCCGCTCATCTACACTTCAACCTTTCCTGCTGCACAATAGACAGTCTGGTGCCACTGATCTGGCTGCTGCTGTTGCTTTCCTCTGAGAGGCCATGCCCTCAACACTATCCAAAACAGTATACTTGTTTGAAAGGGGAGTAGCCACAGGGGACTCCCATACCGCTTGTCCCTCCTGGCTTTCACCCATCTATCTGGCAGAACTTTTGGTGTGACCACATCTCTGAAACTCCTACCTCTAAAATTTTCTGCCTTTTGTGTGCTCCTCAGTGAGTTCAACTGCTGCTTCAATTGATCCATGTGGTTTACGAAGAGGGTGGACACACTTTCTGCAGACATAGTTGTCATGGACATTTGACTTCTGTCTGATCACCCACATCTCACAGGAAAAGCATGCAACTCCACTGACTACCATTACACCCCTTACCTTGCTGTACCTTAATGCTGCTTGCCCTCTTCAGCGGAGCCTGACACTCACTAAAACTTGCAATTTGATCTCAAAGCCCCTCTCCAAAACAGCCGTTCCCACTAGAGCTTGCTTTCCTTTTATATGTGACCTGTAGGAAGGAAAAACTCTCACTGAAACCTCCTCAGTCCCTTTTCACTAATGCCCTCTGTTTTGAAATAGAGATGAGGCAATTTGTTTTTCACAGAGGGTCATCAGTCTTTGGAACTGACTTCTTGTAAAGCTGTTGAAGCAGAGCTCTTGAATACTTTAAAGGCAGAGGTGGATATGTTCTTGATAAGCAAGAGGGTGAAGGTTATAGGGGGTAAGCAGGAATGTGTATTTATAGTTACCATGGTCTTACAAACCAGCAGAACAGACACAAAGGACCGACTGGCCCACTTGTACTCCTCAGCCAGGAATTTAATACCACCACAATCTAAACTGTTGAGGCATTGACTTAATTTTAAAACAGAGATGAAAAATAAAAAGATTTTTTTACAACTCACTTTTTTGTAAATTACTCCGCTTCTTCTGGTCTGGTACAGTTACAGAATATGCACCATAACTGGAAAAAATCCAATTAGAATAATCAAAGATCACAAAAGGCTACATAATTTTGATTCCTTTTAAAAATAAGATTGATGTTGTTTTTTTAATGGCATTGCAATAACTATTTACATCACAGCCAGCCCTACATTGTGTTAATGACACCTTGTGATTAAGAGTTTGGAGATAGAGTTATGTTCCTCAGTTTATGGGATTACTATCAGGGCTAGCTGTTTTGAGTTAGAAACTGTGGTTAGTGTTTGAAACTGCCACTGGAGGAGCAGAGGGGTTCTGCAGATCGGACAGCAGTGGAGAGAGAAACTCAAATCCAAAGAAGAGTCATACCGCACTCGAAATATTAATTCTTTTTTTCTCTCCACGGATGCTGCCAGACCTGCTGAGGTTCTATAGTATTTTCTGTTTTTTTGATACAACAAGTGATAATATTTTGTAAGTTTTACAAATTATTTGCTGTACCTCCATAGTAGCCTTTTGCAATTCATGCACTAGTACACCCAGTTATCTCTGCAACTCAGATTTTTACAAGATCTCACTATTTAGTTAATATGCCTTTTATTTTTCCTGCCAAAATTGTCAGTTTGACATTTTTATTTATCCCTCATATCATTATAACTAAAACACATCACAAGGTACCTGATCTCTTTTAATAGTACTGTTTGCAGGAGCTTGATATGTACAGATTTGCTACTGCACTTTTGATACTGCAAAAATATTTCATTTTCTGAGTGCTTTGGAAGATTCTGAAAGGAATTACTAATGCATAATATTTTTTGTTACTGTTTAATATGGTGCTTTTATGATCCCAGCTAATGGTACTACTGGTCTAGTTATATGCAGAATGAAATTTGGTTTGATAGATCACTTTTTTCAGTTAGTTAACATGATCATTTGTAACTGAAACATAGTCACACGAGAATTTAACAACTGAACAGAAATTGATTCTAAAGAGAAAAAAAAAGGAAAAACAAATCAAGCGAAATATCGAAGGCAGTTATAATCTTAAAACACATAGCAAGACAACTTGCTTTCTACCAGTATTTGTTACAGAGATTCACATCCAGAGAAATTACACCCCTATCTCAATTCTTCGAGATTCTGCTAAACTGACTCCTGACAGTTTATTTGTTACAGACTGTGAAGACAATTTGATAAGTTGTTTCCAAATCTGCCAAGATGAGTTTTTCACAAATCTGGTAGTCTAAAAATTTAAAGTTCTAACATCCTATTTCTGACCAAATTCTCCTGGTTTGGAAGTTTCATAAACTAAACCCCACTGCTGAGGTGACTTTTTGCCTAAACTGTTATGAATCCTTCTGGGATGGAGACTAAACTGGCTAAATGGACTACGATGATTTCAGGTACAAAAGGATTTTGTTTTGAGAGGTTGAGTAGATTGGAATTGTACTCATTGGAGTTTAGAAAAAACAGAGATGACCTTATTTGAAATGTACAAGATTCTTAGGAGGCTTAATAGGTGGATGCTGAGAAGTTGTTTCCCCTTGTGGGCGAGTTTAGGACCATAAGGCGTAATCTCAGAGTAAGGGATCACCTAGTTAGGACAGAGATCAGGAGAAATTTCTTTTCACAGAAGGTAGTGAATCTGCGGAATTCTTCACCATAGAGGCTGGGTCATTGAGAATATTCAAGACTGGGCAGATTTTTAAATCAATAAGGGGAAAATCATGAATAATGGGGAAAGTCATGAAGATGAAGTTTGGGGTTATCATCTCAGCCATGATCTCATTGAGTGCCAGAGCAGATTTGATGAGCCAAATGTCCTAATTCTATTTCTATATCTTGTGGCTTCTATATTCAACAGAAGTGTAGTTTTGAATTAAACTGAAAACAAACCAAAATGGCCTTAAACCGCGAATTCTAAAAACAGTAGTACAAAGATCTTTCCATTAACGTTTCAGGAGCTTGCAGTCACCAGCTCTCTGGAAAATAAATGTCTGATTTAGTCAAAGTCCAGGAGGACCTTGCACTTTTTTTAAACTCACAAAGTAACCCATCTGCTATGTTCAAATCCAAATTCCAGAACTGATAGTAACGTATTTAAATTACACATAATGTCCATTTTAAAATGACCAGAATTGCAGTTAATTTTTCATTAATGAACGCGTTCAGGCATGTTGTGACATGCCTCTGTGGCAGGTGGGACTTGAATTTAGGCTTTCTGACTCAAAAGTAGGGACACCGGCCACTGTGCCAGAAGAGCCTTATGTCCACAATTTTAAAGTTGCAAAATTAACCTTTCACAGCAAAACTCCTATTTGTCACATTAACTCAAAGGCAAAAGATCCTTGTCGACAAGTTCTGAAACTGCTACAATTTGGAAACGTGGAATGTTTTGCTTATTTAGAGACACTATAAGGATGAAGTTTACTATAACTGTCTCACAGTAACAAGAAATTTCTGCTCAAAACACGAACTTCTCACCTGTAAGTTGTTTTTTGTGCTGACTTCTGCAGAGTAGATCTTTGATGGGTGGCAGCACATCTTCGCAAGACAGTCGTGTTGCCCTTAGCTGTACTTGTATCTATGCTTTTACCTACCTCTTTACATGTAGTTGTACTGATATCCGCAGCTGTAGTTATACCTTTCCTCAGACCTGTACCTTTGACTTTGACCTTTTGCGTCCCGAACCCACCTTTACCTTTTGCCCCACGTTCATCATGATCATCATTACCCAGTTTCTCCCGATTTATCCTAGGTTTTCTCAAAACCGAATAAGACATGTCTAACCAGAAATAGAAAGCAAAAGGTCTCCGTGTCGCGATCTCGATCGCTAACGGATAGTTGCTAGAGCGTAGGGGCCTCTGGGGGATGTAGGCCACTTCATCACATGCTCCTGTCTGATGTCGCCATGCGATGTCATGTGAAAACTACAATACCCAGAATCCCAGACAGCATTGGATTTCCGGCGGGAAGAAGCTGGCTGATCGTTACTATAGCAACATCGTGATCTTTTATTGAAGGTACAATCTTCTCCGCCTCAAAGCACTTAAAAGAATATTTATTTCGTCATTCCAATCACCTCAATTTTTTATGTACTATTTCTATTTAGAACTTAATTTTTTGCGTGTACTATCTCTCCAGGTTTAAACTAAACTGCTTTACAATGTAAAACAATAAAAGTTTCGAGAACAGACTTTTGGCCAAAATGCTCGCTCTTATAAGTAAGTCTTACAAGGTTTGGAAAGCTGGTATCAGAGAAGCCAAAAGGCCGCAATAGTAAATAAAGCTATGGCTATTTATCGGAGCTACAGTAAAAAAAGTCATAAAATTTTACAGTACAGAGGAGGCCATTCGACCCATCGTGTCTGTACCGACTCCCAAAAGAACCACCCATTCTCTAGCCCCACATCCATAGCTCTCTAAATTCATCACTTTCAAATCCAGTTCTCTTTTGAAACCTCCTATAGAATCCACTTCCACCAGTCTCCCAGGGAACACATTCCAAATCCTAACAATGTTGAGTCAAGAAGTTTTTTCCCTATCTCACTCCCCGCTGTCTTGCTGAAATTCTTGGAATTGTGACCCCTCATTAGTGGCATACAAACTAGTGGAAACAGAATATCCTCTTCACTCTGTAAACACTGTTCCTAGTTTGAACACCTTCATAAGGTCACTTCTTAATTAGGATCATTCACCACCATTTCCACCACCTTCAGCCACCACCAGAGACATATTCCCCTCCCTTGTCAGCCTTCCACATCGACCATTCCCTCTGAGACACCTTGGTCGATTAATCTTCCTCCACTCCCAATGCTTCTCCACGTCCCTACAGCACCTTCCCATAAAAATTCAGAAGATGTAACACTTGCCTGTTTACTTCCTCCCTCCTCACTATCCAAGGCTCCAGACAAAGCAGCAAGTTACCTGCACTTGACAGTTGACAGCCACGAGAAGACGGGAGGTTCGCTAATGTTGTGCCATTAATTTAAGAAAGGATACAAGGAAAAGCCAAGGAACAATGGACTGGTGAGTCTCACTTCAGTGGTGGATAAATTGTTGGTAGGCATTCTGAGAGACAGGATTTACATGCGTTTGGAAAGGCAAGGACTGGTTAGGGATGGTCAGCATAGCATTGTGTATGAGAAATTGTGCCTAATAAACTTGATTGAGTGTTTTGAAGAGGTGACTGAGAAGATAGATGAAGGCAGTGTGGTACATGTTGTCTACATGGACTTAACAAGGCCTTCGACAAGGTTCTGCATGGTAGACTGGTTAGTAAGGTTAGAACACGTGGTAGCCAGGGAGAGCTAGCCAATTGGACACAAAAATGGCTTCATGGTAGAAGACAGAGGGTGTTGGTAGAGGTTCGTTGTTCCAACTGGAGGCATGTGACCGGCAGTGTGCTGCAAGGATCAGTGCTGGGTCCACTGTTATTTGTCATTTTATACAAATGATTTCAATGAGAATACAGGAGGCATGGTTAGCAAGTTTGTGGATGACACCAAAATTGGTGGTATAATGGACAGTAAAGAAGGTTATCTAAGAATAAACAAGATCTTGATCAGCTATGCCAGTGGGTTGAGGAGTGACAGATGGAGTTTAATTTAGATAAATGTGAAGTGTTGCATTTTGTTAAGACAAACCAGGACAGGAATTAATCGTAGGAGTCTGGGGAGTGCTGTCAAAAAGAGAGACCTAGAGGTTCAGGTACATAGTTCCTTGAAAGCGGCGTCACAGGTAGATGGGATGGTGAAGAACGCGTTTAGCATACTTGCCTTGATTGGTCAGAGCATTGAGTGCAGGAGTTCGAACGTCATGTTGCGGCTGTACAAGATATTGGGGAGGCCACTTTTGGAGTACTGTGTACATTTACGATCGACCTATGTAGAAAGGATGTTATCAATGGAAATGGGTGCAGAAAAGATTTATAAGGTTGTTGATTTATTGGTGTCACATGTACCGAGATACAGTGAAAAGTGTTGATTTGCATATTCTACAGGCAGATTGTGCCATACAAAGTGCATCAGGTAGCAGAACAGAGTGCAGAAATAAACTGTTACAGCTGCAGAGAAGGTGCAGAAAGAAAGATCAACATTAACATTTGAGAGATCTGGTCAAAAGTCTGATTATAGCCGAAAGAAGCTGTTCTTGAATTTGTTCGTATGTGTATTTAAACTTTTATATCTTCTGCCTAATAGAAGAGTTTGAAACAGAGTATAGCTCGGGTGGGAGGGGTCTTTGATTATGTTGGTTGCTTTCTTGAAACAGTGGGAAGCATATATGGAGTCATTGGATGGAAGACTGGTTTGTGTGATTGGGCTGTGTTCATGACTCTTTGTAGTTTCTGCTGTCTTGGGAAGAGCAATTGCTATACCATGCTATGATGTATCCAGATAGGATGCTTTCTATGGTGCCTCTATAAAAATTGGTAAGAGTTTTTGTTGCATGTCAAGATTCCTTAGGCTCCTGAGGAAGCAGAGGTGTGGTTGTGCTTTCTTGATCATCGCGTTGACATGGGTGGACTAGGACAGATTGTTGGTTATCATCACTCCCAGGAACTTAACATTTTTGACCATCTCCACCTCAGCACCATTGATGTAGACAGGGAATTGCCTTCCACTCCTCTTCCTGAAGTCAATGACCAGCTCCCATGTTTTGCTGTCATTGATCGAGACATTGTTGTCCGTACACACTGCCGTTAAGCACTCAATCTCTTTCCTATATTCTGTTTTGTAATTGTTTGAAACTTGACCTACAATGGTGGTGCCATCAGCAAACTCGTAAATGGAGTTGGGGTGAAATTTGGCCACACGGTTGTGAGTGTACACGGAGTACAGTAGGGGGCAGAGTACACAGCCTTGCAGGGCACCGGCATTGAGGATTATCTTGAAGCAGGTGTTGTTGCCTATCCTTACTGATTGCAGTCTATGGGTCAGGATGTCAAGGATCCAGTTACAGAGGGGGGAGCTGAGACCTAGGTCGCGGTGTTTGGGGAACGAGCAGAGGCTGGATAGGCTGAGGTCGGAGGCTGCAGGGTGACCTTTTGGAGATTTATAAAATCATTAGAGGCATAGCTTTAAGGTGAGAGGGGAAAGATTTAAAAGGGACTTGAGGGGCAACTTTTTCACACAGCGGCTGGGCATTTATGGAATGAACTGCCAGAAGAAGTGGTAGAGGCGGATACAATTAGAACATTCAAAAGACATTTGGACAATTACATGAATAGGAAAGGTTTGGAGGGATATGGGTCAAACGCAGGCAAATGGGACTAGTTCACTTTAGGAAACCTGGTTGGCATGGACGAGTTGGGCGTAAAGGTCTGTTTCCATGCGGTATGACTCCGTAACTCTCCATGGTCTAGTCTACTTTATTCACTGTTTACAATGTGGTCTCCTATACACTGAGGAGACAAAACATAGATTGGGCAACTGCTTTGCAGAACACCTACATTCTGTCTGCAAAAATGACCCAGAGCTTTTGGTTGCCTACCATTTCAACACACCAACAAAGTTCCCTAGCCAACATCTCTTGGGCTTGCTGTAGTGCTTCAGGTAAGCTCAGCACAAGCTGGAAGGACAACATCACATTTTCCACTTGGGGACCCTGCAGCCTTCAAGACTCAATATCGAGTTCAATAACTTTAGGGCCTGAGCAACTTCTCCCATGTCCTTATCCCCACCTTGTCATCATGTGGTCTGCTGCCACAACCAACCCATTGTGAGCTCCTAATACCCCACATTAGCAGCTATAGATTCTCTCAGGCTGACCATTACCCATTCCTTTATCTGCCCAATTGCTGTTTTATTTCTTCTCTCTGGGATCCTTCTCTACCTATTGTCACTCCTCCCTCCTCACCCCCCACCCCAATCTTCAGCATATATACCTACATTTTCCTTGCTATAATCAATTCTGAAGAAGGATCGCTGGACCCAAAATGTTTACCCTGCTTTCTCTCCACAGATGCTGCCGGACCTGCTCAGATATTCCAGCAATTTCTGATTCTCTTTGTTTCTGATTTCTAGCATCTGCAGTTCTTTTCTTTTCATAGCCTGCCCTTAGTTGCCCTTGAGAAGGTGATGGTCAGCTGCCTCTTAAACCGCAACAGTCCATGTGCTGTAGGTTGACTCATAATGCCACTAGGGAGGGAATTCCAGAATTTTGACCCAACGACAGTGAAGAAACGACATAAATTTCCAAGATAGTAGGAACTGCAGATGCTGGAGAATCCGAGACAACAAGGTGCAGAGCTGGATGAACACAGCAGGCCAAGCAGCGTCATAGGAGCAGAAAGGCTGACGTTTCGGGCCTAGACCCTTCATCAGAAATGAAGGGTCT